GAAATCTACAGGGCACAAAGTGCGCGAGGGCTCCGGGACTCCTCGTTGTGCGGATTGAGCCTAGGAAATGGGGAAGGAAACTTACATAACAAATGACATCCCTTCCTCAAAGCCCATGGTCTGTCCCAGGGCGGGTGAGACAAATTGGGAGAGGGGGGGGGTAGTCCTAGGCTCTTTGCATAGTGATGCCCCCTCACGTACACCATCACCTAGTTCCGGTGTGATGCGCGTAGTAACGTGCGGAATTAAGCCGCAGCCACATTCTATCACGCGCTCATGTCCTTGGGTGTGGGGGAACATCCAAGTGGGCCAATTACTGTGCTCGGGACGAGGGAAGGGATTCTGGGGAGCATGTGAGCAATTTGTGTTCTCCCTGGCGTTTCTCCCCTCTGCTGGGCTTCAGTCCTATCTCACCTACCATTGGCCCTGTTTTGGATGCCCCCCTCCTCCCCAAGGACACGAGTGCCTTCACCTGAACTGAGGATTTAATTGCAGAAAGAAAGACAATTCCAAAGCGACAATAATATTCGAAGAATGATGATAGCGTCGACATTCGGGCAAGGCTTACTTATGGGATATACGATAAATCAACGTTACCTCAGCTCACAACCACTCGCTTTTATCACCCCCATAGCCGTTTCCTTTGGATACGCCGTGAGTTTCTTCATGGCTATTGGGGCGAAATGTCACAAGTTGTATAGCCGACATTTTTCAGAACGTCTCACAACGTGCTAGAGGGGATCGTGCAATGATTCTCTGTGCTTCACTCGGCTCTGCTGTAAGCGCGCATTTGGTGATCGGAGCACTGACTGGTCAACTGGGCGCAGCTTACGAGTTTCTCGCTCTCGGTTATGTTGCGCTCTCCGGAATCACTATGCAGATGCTCTTCCACACTGCGCATTGGGTAGGTGAACAACTTCACTTACCAATAAACATCACATTTTCAGAGGCTTACAGTACCTAAATTGGCCTACCTCGTCTGGGTGCAGCGTCCTCTCCTCCTGCATGAAAAGAGGAATATGTGAACAGGGGAATGCAGACATCCGGAGGGGGGGTATGAATAAGAGTCGGACAAGCGTGGTGGAAAAGCTGGAGTGTGCAGCTTCACACCAAGAGGGCGCGTACGTGCGGAGCCCCGAAGCAGCTTCTGCCCCCCCCCCTCTCAACTAAGTTAGCACTTTCGATTGTCCTCGTCAAGTATTTTTGGAGGACGCCTAACATTTCAAAACAGTGACTCCAGCCAATGCCAGGGAAGCCAGATTAAGTTGCTCTTAGGATCAGTGCTACCCCCTTCACACGATATCATTGGATACCCAGCAGTCCTTGAAGTTGATCGCCAGGAAATCGGGAGGAAGGTCGCTTGCTGATCTCATCGGTAAAGTGTTTTTCTCGGATAAGCAGATAAAGTGCATTTGAGGTTGGAAGGGAGTTAGAGTGAGACTGGTACCAATTTACGTTATACTGATAACAATTATTGGACAAATGCGACCTTGCCAACATGTGGCGAGTTATTGCGAGGTCAAAGGGGGGGGGGGGGGGATCGGTGTGGCTGACGGAGAAGTATAGGAGCTTCGGTACTGGGTTAAAAAATCGTCTAACCAAGGGGGTGATTGGGCGGCATTTATGACACACGTTCCTGACCGCCTCATCCTCTCTCCTATATACCTAAATACGAATCCAAATGCCTAATACCGCTATTCTTGTCTAATTCGACCAGAAATTCGAGTGACCTTGTACCAAAACAGCAATACCGAATACAGCCTTAAGAAGGACTAATATCGATACTGACTAACCTCGTCCTACGTGGGCGGGTGGGTTGCCTGCAACTTTCCATTCTGCATAAAGGGACAGGACACAGGGCTCTGCTTACGAATTAGAATATCATTTTTGAATCAATACGTTGTTTTTCAGACCCGAGGACACGCATTCCAAAACCTACACAACGCCTTCTACGCCCTTTTCAAAGGAATGACATTCTACTGCTTCGGAACTTACATCGAATAGCCACATGAATTAGTTCCACGCTAACTGACCTATATAAAGAATTCACGACCCAATGAAGATCTTTTCTTTTCGTCAGTGTCAGAATAAAGCGCTCTGTTCTGTGAGCGACGGTTCAAGTATTTGCTCAGGGTTTCTATCGCTCATCCCTTCAAAAGCAGCTCAGAAAAGCCTAGCAGAGTAGGCTTATATCAGAAGAGTTCAATGAAAAATAGCATAAGAAGCCTCGGCAGAGCAGAAGAGGGCAGGAGAAAGTAGGGAATTTGTCACATGAAAGCCCAGTCAGATTGTTTTGTATTGTTTGCCTGCGGTCTTCCCCTTTACTCCTTCCTAAAAACCCCTTACTGAATGCACGGAGTACTATGCACGGAGCAGTAGATGAGATGTGCAACTCGGATAGCCACCAGGATTACAATGAGATCGACAGTGTGCTCTTGCCTTCTTGGCCGCGTTGAACATTCGCTTCTTCACAAGAGTTGGTGCCGTGATATCATGGCGTGCCACACCGTCCCACAAGTTTTTGGGCTCGAAAATGAACCGGATCTGGAATGAGGTCATATAAAAACCAAAGAATAAACGAATGCTAGGCAAAAAGCGCTATAGGAAACGTCGGAATTTTTTTTCTTGATTTTTTCAACAAATACCGTAATCAAACCCCCCATAAGCCCTTGTTTAGTTCATTCTACTCATTCTATTCCCTATTTATTGCTGAAAGAAGTCTATAAATGAAGTTAACTGAAGAAAGTTCCGTAAAGTTCCATAAATTGATTATTGGATTCTGAAACCAGTCGGCACATCCAACTCCGCCCACTTTTTCTGGGAGGTGGAGAAGGGTGTAG